AGAGAACATTACCTTTTAGAAGAAATCGCGGTAAACACTGATATTATTAAACATTCGATGTTTATCCTTTCTTCGTAAAGCTTGTGTAAGTACTTTCAGATCTTCTAATTTAATGCTTGTATTCTTATTTCATTTGTTCTTTTTATATTACTCATATATTACTTTTACTATTATTACATTATATTACTTTTTATATTTTTATAGTATTCATATTATTAAGTAGACCTAAAATGTTTTTTTTTCTATAACGAGATTAATTTTGTTTTCCAAGGCGTTAGCTTTTTCACAATGTTATATAAGCACTGAAAACAGTTTTTTGTGCGATATATTCGAAAATCAAATTAAGAATATTGTTTTATAGTATCATAATAATATTGAGAACTATTCTATTCTATTGAGAACTAGTCAAAAAAGGTTTTTGGGGTGAATAGGAATCGTGATAGATGGCGACGCCTGTCACGTTTACCACAAAAACAAGTGTTCACGCCGCTAAGTGACTGACGACATCCAGGGGAAATCGGATGTTAAAAGAAAAACATTCAATAAAAAAATATTAGTCGTATAAAACAATGAAGTTCGATTTAATATATTTTTTATTTTTTTATTTTTTTTATTTCTTAGGTGGGTGGACGAGCTCCCAGCCCACTTGGTGTTAAGTGGTTACTGGAGCCGATAGACATCCACAACGTAAATGCCGCCACCCATTTAGTTCTAAGGTCTCAGTGTAGTTACAAGGGCTGCCCCATCTTTCAGACCGAAACGCATTACTGCTTCACGACAGAAATAGGCAGGGCGGTGGTTCGAAGTCGTCGTGGCCTAAAGGATAAGTCGTCGGTGCATTCGTATCGAGCGATGCACCGGTGTTCGAATCCCGCAGGCTGGTACCAATTTTTCTAATGAAATACGTACTTAACAAATGTTCACGATTGACTTCCACGGTGAAGGAATAACATCGTGTAATAAAAATCAAACCCGCAAAATTATAATTTGCGTAATGACTGGTGGTAGGACCTCTTGTGAGTCCGCGCGGGTAGGTACCACCGCCCCGCCTATTTCTGCCGTAAAGCAGTAATGCGTTTCGGTTTGAAGGGTGGGGTAGCCGTTGTGACAATACTGAGACCTTAGAACTATATCTCAAGGTGTGTGGCGCATTTACGTTATAGATGTCTTGGGCTCCAGTAACCACTTAACACCAGGTGGGCTGTGAGCTCGTCCACATACCTAAGAAATAAAAAAAAAAAAAAAAAAAAACCTAACCGTGCGGTCGCACAAGAGGTCCTACTACTAACATGTCTCAGTATGGGTACACACCGGCGGCATTCACGTTGTGTAGTCCATAAGTTTTGGTAACTACTCCAAATAGGATTGGCCCGTTATGTAACCAAAATAACTCACGAATTCGTACCATCGTTTCTTTGATTTCTTCCGCAAAATGATTAGGCTCTGTTTCGATAAATCAATTTTTGATTAAAGGAAAGGCCTAAACTAAAATTATGATTGTGTATTTTAAACAAATTCGTGATAGTGTGTTATGATAGATTGCTTCATTTTGATTAAATAAAACCAGAACTGAACTTCATTATTTATGTGGCGATTACGTGTACCGTACTGAATTACGTAGCCAAGTTTTGCTCCGTCTTTGAATTCAATTGTAGTTGTTTGAAGTCGTGAATTTGTGTCTATCTATCCCTCCTTCGCTATCTAAAGTTATCTGTGTATCTATTCAGCATTCAGNTGTGTTATGATAGATTGCTTCATTTTGATTAAATAAAACCAGAACTGAACTTCATTATTTATGTGGCGATTACGTGTACCGTACTGAATTACGTAGCCAAGTTTTGCTCCGTCTTTGAATTCAATTGTAGTTGTTTGAAGTCGTGAATTTGTGTCTATCTATCCCTCCTTCGCTATCTAAAGTTATCTGTGTATCTATTCAGCATTCAGTGTTCCTATAAACTAAGACAAAACTGACTAGCAAGTTCAACAACAAGCATATAAATATAAAGAGCGATTCCGCTTCGTCCCAACGTGCTTTCGTGCTAACCTGAATCGTAAATCAGAACTATTGTTGAGCAATAAATGCGGAGGATCGAACGCAAGGGATGCTTGATTAAGTTTATCTTGGTTAATTTACGATTATCTGAGATATTACCTTGTCGCGATGATTTGCCTGTATACATGTGCTGTCATGTGAACTCGTGCTCAAATTAGACATTGGAAGTAATGAACTATCAGACGTTCTATCTTGTACCGACCAAACAACATTATTTTTTACTTCAAGGTCAAAACGCGTGTTATTTATTTAGAACCTAGAGAAGTCGTTCACTACATGCATGTTGGCATAGAAAAACGACTTTATTTTTGTATGTATATTTTAAATGAAGTAAAAAAATATATTTGGTTAATTAATTGTTTTGGTCGATCGTAAAATAAGTTATTTAATTTCGTAGAATTCGAAGCGATAGCAGAATTATTAATGTGACAAATTCTGGCTAGAGAAGTACTCGGCTTGAAGCAATCTCTCGAATTCAATAATCCTTCAAGTAAATATCCTTTTGTGAAAAACGTTGGATACAATCTCAGCGTCCGATCTCACAATGGGGAACGTATTGATGCGGATTGTCCCCCGGCTTACGAACGCGAACTTCAAATAGGCATTGAAAGTTAAAGTTCTGACAAGTAAGCAATATGCACTCTGTTGCAACCACACTGTCGTATTCTTCCTTATTTTATAACGAAAGTAATAAAATTAATGGTTTTAACAAATGTCAGAAATTTCATTGAAATTCGTCGATTTATTTTCACAGTTGAGGAAATATATTTTCTCTAAAGTTCTATTTTCAAAGCGCCGTTTTTCAAGGAAAATAAGTCGTGATTCAGCGAATTAAGATAGATCGGACACGTGGCATCCGAAATGGTAGATCAGACATCTTCTTGGATTTCAGCCACGTATTAAATAAGCCATGCAGTCATCTAGTACGGGATAGATCGATCAAACGGGTTCCGTATAACGTATCTGCATTAGCTGATTTAGATTCCCGGTTTGGTAAATAATTGAAGCGGTTTTAATGTTTCACATGCACATATACTTTTACAAATGTTACTAACTACCAGTCTTTATGTTAAGTACAATAATGTTGTTAGAAGAGAATAAGTCGGAATACAATGAACAACTCAATACAGATGCCATTTGTGAACCACGTAATTGGATTCCATCAAAAATGTTTTACTATTATCACTATTATAAAATGATTCATCAATTAAACACCAGTTATTGGCAGATGATATAAGCAGTACACACCATACCATACATACCATATCTACCGAATTAAACGAGGCGCTGGAAAACTCTCTGCGTTTCCATTAAGTAGAATTGGCAAAAAGCGACAGAACAGGAATGTAAACACTTAAAACTTTGCTCGGAGCTGAGTTCCATCGCTACGTCGCAATAGAGGGCGCTGCTGGCAAACAAAAGCACGTCAAGTTTTAGTTTCAGCCGCCATTTTGTCTGTTCGGCATTTTAACCGCTGTCTATGAAATTCGTGGTATAAACGGAACAGACGCGCATGAAAGATGAATATGCAACGTCGCCGTCCGTTGTGAATCGAAGCTGCTATACGTACCAGCTGGCATATTTTGGCATATTTATTGTGATATCTCTCCGTTTCTCTGTATGTTAGGTTCCGACTTTGTTAGTTNGTTTCAGCCGCCATTTTGTCTGTTCGGCATTTTAACCGCTGTCTATGAAATTCGTGGTATAAACGGAACAGACGCGCATGAAAGATGAATATGCAACGTCGCCGTCCGTTGTGAATCGAAGCTGCTATACGTACCAGCTGGCATATTTTGGCATATTTATTGTGATATCTCTCCGTTTCTCTGTATGTTAGGTTCCGACTTTGTTAGTGTTTTAAGTTAACAAAGTAATTCTCATTTGTTTTACTGATCTGAATCTTAATTAATAATTTAATGAATTAAAATACAATATTACTGTATATTAGATAATACAATATAAATAAAAATACTATTTCAAATTTAATATAATATAATAAATACTGACTACATTTACTTTAAATAATAAAAAAATTATGACTTCTGAAATTTTAAATAATAAAATTTTATAAAGAAATTTCAAATTATTTCCGCGTGTGTTACGCGAAGCCATCTAAATAAAAATAACCAAACATTTATAGAGATGTTTGGTGCTCATCTGACAATGGGATACCTTTATTTCCAAAGTAAAACCTTAGTCAAACAAAGTGCCAGACCTCAAGATTGTGTTATTTCTATATGTATGCAACTTTTTTTTTGCTTTAGAAATTTAGACAATAATTACCACTATTAAAATGTCGATGAATAAAACTTAGACTACAGTGACCATAAAAACTGTAAAACTTCAAAACATCGGAGATAGTTCAATAAAATATTAAACAAGAGACATAACCATAAAAGTTTATTTATTACGTCATTTAGTGACAATACTTAGAATATTTACATTATATCACAATGAGTCAATGAGGAATGTAGTAGTACCATTCAAAACTAAAAAAATTTCGTGTTTAGTTGTAAAGCTAATTGTTGGTTCGACGGCTAATAGGCCAAGCTCGCGTTGCTTAATTACACTGAAATTTAACCAATCCATACAATATTTAATATTAAAACGGAATGGTCGAGTTGAATTTTGAAAGAACCCAAAATTGTACTCAAGCAAGTTTTTGAAAATTCTGTTCGCATTGCAATTTAATCTCCGTAATGTATTTTAATACCAAAACACAATAAGAAGTCGTACTTACGAAATTAGACATCTAAAATTAATTTCATTGTTTAGCGGATCTCCTGATTTGATAGAGATAAATTTTGGGGCCTTAATAAAATAATAGTCTCAGTTTCATTCAGAATAAAAATCAAGAAATATTAAAAGCACGTTGCTGTAAATTAGTATAATATTATGTTAAACTCACATTTTACCTAATTAATTTGCGTTTAATTGTTTTTCACAGAATTGCCTGAATCAGGCCCAAAAGTTCGTGCCCAAAAAAGTTGGTACTCTGTAGGTGATATGCTACGAGCTAATTGTACGTCACCTCCTGCCGATCCAGCGGCTAATTTGACTTGGTTGTTAAACGGACAAGAGGTATAAAGTAATATCAAACATAAACAACAAACAAACAACTGTTGAGTTTGAAAATAATTAACTGTACTGTATTCGATTTTAGGTAAAAGGCCTCGATATTCCATTAGTGGATACAACTTACCCAAGAAAGCCTGTGATAACGGATACGTCGCTCGAAGATGCAAATAGAATTATATTTAGTCCATGGGACACGATTTCGGGGTACGAGGATCCCGTTACCGATAATGTGATAGACATACCTGGTAATATTGCCGTACTGAGCATACCCGAAGCTGTTGCCGATGTTGCCAAGGAGACTACAACCAGTTCAATGCCCAGGATAGAGCAGATTGCAAATAAATTTAACATTAGCGAGGAGGAAAAATCGAATAAATCATCCTCATACAGCCAGCTTGTTATTAGAGTGCAGTCCGTGCATTTTCATAAGGTTAGTTACTTTCTCGTAGCAATTTTGTTACATGAAATACTCTATTTAATAAGGTTTGCTTTTTTTATTTACCTTCTTCGATTTTATATTGGTTATGAAACGTTCAAATTCAAACATAAAACGAAAATTCAAAATTTATAGGTCGATATATCGCTGTTTCGATGCGCCATTACATTCCATTTGCCTGTTAATTATAAATTCAACAGGGAACATCAAAATACATTGATCATGTATTAGCGCGTACGCGTTCAATTTTGTATACAATACATTATAATTTGGCTTATACTGAAATCATCCGATAACAGCTTGGGAAACAATAACTATGACCATGAATGGTTTGAAACTTTAATGTGACGCTTCATTTGCGGTCGATTTTGTTGGTTTGTTCTTAGTGTTATTACTATCGGGCTTCCCATTATTTTTGTGTTACGGTAATGATTGTTTTAGATTTTGGATTGTATTCTATATATTATACTAATTTAAATTCATGTTCTATTTGTCGAATGTAGTTATATTTTATGGTATTATTGGGGTTATTCGCCTCACCTCGTTAGTCGAGTGGTGAGTATCCCGAACAACTGTACAATCAACTCTCAGTTCGATTCCTGTTAGACTCAATATCTTGGATAAAGATGTTTGATATTTGCGATTTAAATTTACTATAGCTCGTATTGTTTGTATAATTTGGTAATTACGCATAGTTCAGAAGAATCTTAATCTAAAGAGGTTAAATTCGGAACGTTTTTAAAATTGAAATGAATACACGTATATATTTTTTAATATAAATAATAATCTATTTATATTTTAACTTTGTTTCACACGTTAGATTCCTTTGAATTGTTTTCTAATCGAGAACCCCCCTATTGAAAGTAATAATATTATACGTTTTATAATGAATATTTAAAAGTATACTTCCACATCTCTATGAAGTACTAGATTCTAGATAGACATAGTACCTATTTGAAATCCACCACTAACAAACATACGTATGTACGTACGAGTAGGTCGATCTTATACATAGTATGCCAACCACAATCTCAATCGCGCGGTTCTGAGGGTTCACATAGGCCCGGTTACAATCTGCGTATCAAATAGACATATTAAATAGGTTATATAGACACTACTTGTATAAATACCACACAGTCCAAAGTACTGAATACTTAATACGTATTCATTAGGTGAAGTATGTGGTATGGATCTTTATTTATTTACGTTTTCCTGACGTAATCTTAACTTTTGTAAATCTTCGTTTCGAAGTTATTAAATGTGTGTAAATTGAGTTAAGGAGTTCTTATGATCGGTAGAATATTCTGTATCATCCCATCACTCACCACCCAATTCTGGGTCATAAACTAAGCCACGAAAATTCGGAAAGTCTTGAACGATAGGGGCCATGCTTTATTATTATACTAGATAGCTAGATAAACTAACAGCCGATTTGCTGCATTGTTACTGGAGGTCATCGACACAACAGAGATTTCCACCACCCACCTTGAGATATGATATCAATTCATGATATAGCTCTAATTGTATATTAAAACAGCTGCTTCACTGGTCGAACCGAAACGCATAACTACTTCGCATCAGTAATAGACAGGATCGTGGCACCTATACGACCACAGAATAATAATACTGACATTATTGACACAACTATATTGAACGAATTAAGCCTCAGGCAGTTTTAGACAGAAATCAGTCAAGTTATGATCACGCAGAAATTAGAGAATAAATTGAACGTAAACTAAAAAACCCATAGCGGTAGCCGAATGAAGTGATTTAAAATTAAATTTGTAAAATCAATTTCAGCAACACGTTAAATCAAATACAAAGATAAAATACTAATAAATCTGATAAAGTCATCGTTCGGTATAATCTTTCGTCTAAAATAATAGAAGAACATCCGAATTATGCTATACATCGATCTGTATAACCCGCGGCGAGCATTTCACAACATTGCTAACAATAGACCGAAATTGCCAGTGCAACACAGAACCGCATAGTTCGACGCATACCAAACACTCCGCAAACTGCCTCACTTTGAATGAAGTGCACCATTTCATTTGTTTCTCTATGGATCTAATGTCAGAACGTACTTTCGCAGAATTGAACTCTACATAATACATCGTGTTCTTTTATGATACTGTGATAATTGTTTATTCGCTGTTATTTGAGTGATGCAGCTATTTTCTAGTTCTACTACTATGTTCTCATTAGCCGTTTGTTGTAAGTTCTTACTTAATTTCGTACATAGTCATCCTATAATTATCCCCTTAATTCAGACTTTGAATGTAGTGTAGGGAATTTTGGGACTACATAGTTTAATGGCGATTGTATCAATGCAACTGACTTGACTTGACTTTACTAGACTAACTTAGCCTACCGACTTTCCCTTACCATACCTTCCACCGTGTGAAGAAAAGCAGCATTGTTCCATGAAACTTGGTACAAATTTCAACAACACATGGTTCATGATCGCTTCAATCCAAAAAAGCTAACTAAAATGGCTGTAGAAGTTGTGGATGGACACAAAAATCCATTGAAATGGATAAAAACAATTAATTTTATTGAACAACAAAAACTATAAGCAAATCAGTGCTGTAAATTTATATTTCTCTTTTTTTTCCTATCCAATCTTTGGTAGCCTAAGGGGATATTTTAACTTCAAGTGGACCGATAGGTAAGCTCACGGGTTCAACCTGATAGAATTTCTAATACTAACCCTAGCAAGAGCAGTGCTTCGTTGAATCTACTACCGGATCGGAAATGTGACCAACTGAGAAGGTCTGGCGAGAAACTCAGTTGGGTGTATCTATGGGCTGGTCCGCACGTCGAACTCTTCGTTGGAGTCGACGAGTTCGACAAGAACGGTGACCGGTGCTCGAATCGAGAGTGATATTTCACGTATTAGCATCTTTTGCACACTGCGGCGATTCTGTGCTATAGTTAAGTCATATGACAACAATTATTTATATCCGTTGTTAAAATGAATATACTTGTATTAATAATTCTGTTGTAGGGTCGTTTAAATGTAACATGCGTGGCTCACGTGTTGTCTATTTGGTCGTCGAGTGGAGTACTTTTATTGGATGAAGAACGACCACAGATTGCACCGGTGATGGGAAGTAGGGATTCTAATTCAGGTACTGTGATGGATTTGAAGTTTATCTGACTTATTACAGTGAATATTTTTTTGGTATATAGTTCTTAGAGAGTAAGTTATCCGATTTAAAAGCTTTACGAGTAGAAATAATGAATTTCTAGTAATACTAAAATTAATTGAACTTAAAAAAACTTAAAAAATTTAAGTGACAGAGAAGCTGAGAAGTGCGCGTTTGCGATAGTATGGACATTTGATGAGACGAAATGAAAATGAGGTTGGTAAGAAAATGTTAACGAATGAATGTGGAAGGATATAGAGGAAGAGGTAGACCTAAGAAGAAATGGATGGATTGCGTGAAAGACGATATGGGTAAGAGGGGAGTGAGCGAAGACATGGTATATGATAGAAGAGTATGGAAGGAGAAAACATGTTGCGCCGACCCCAGGTAACTGGGAGAATGGCAGGACAATGATGACTAAAAGTAATTGAAATGAAGTTCGATGATAAAAAGTAATATTTCGTGAACAAAACATTGTACTTGTTTATAGAATTTTATTGTTTATATACTTATTTAATCTATTGAAATTTAATCAATAAGTTTCTGTAAAATTCATCCTGAATCATATCTTTTTTTGATAATTATTAAAGGTTCAAAATAAGAATTTATTTACGATTTTATTACAAGATCATAATTTATTTTACGTTTCACAGGTCTACCTAAGTGTGCATCATCACTTATAGCAGTCATAATACACAATTTATTCTTCTGCTGGCAATGGTAAGTTTACACAATTTCGAAAATAAATACTGAATTCAAATTACATACAATTTAAAGTCGGTTCATGGGAGTTAGAGAAAATGAACAATATTTAGATTGGGTCAATTCAAACTTGACGAGCGTAGACTGAATTGGAAACAAAAACAATGAAACTTAAATTCCCCCGTAACTTTGTACGGGTCCTAATTTAATTCCACAAAGGAAGTCTAGTCTCCGGGTGATAATAAAATTACGGTAATCTTTTTTTTTTTTATTGCTTAGATGGATGGACGGGCTCACAGCCCACCTGGTGTTAAGTGGGAACTGGAGCCCATAGACATCTACGACGTAAATGCGCCACCCACCTTGCGATATAAGTTCTAAGATCTCAGTATAGTTACAAGGGCTGTCCCGCCCTTCAAACCGAAACGCGTTACTGCTTCTCGGCAGAAATAGGCAGGGTGGTGATACCTACCCGCGCGGACTCAGAAGACGTCCTACCACCAGTAATCTATTCTGCCTTTTCAGGTCAGTTCGATGATGGAAAAAATTCGCAGATTATATGTAAGAACTTGTTTTAATCGACTAAATATCGTGTTAGACAAAAGTTTTAGTGAAGTTAAAGAAAACTATGCAGGTAATGAGATTTCGTCGACAAAGTGGATTAGTAGTGAATTTTTATACATGTAAATAATAAAATAGTTTTAACTAATAGTAATCTGTAAGAATGATAGAAATGATTTTGCTTTCCGAGCATATTGTATGTAACTGTTATTTCAATGTAAAAAATTCAGATTAAACGTCATCTCTGTTTTTAAATATTCTTTTACTGACGTAGAAAAATCCTTTGTAATCTATAATTAAAGTTGTCTTTTGTTAGAATCGGCACTTTTCTGGTATGAATAGTTTGAAATAATTAATGTAGTATTGAACTCACGTCGTGTGCAACGTCGTTCACAAATTGAAAGATTTAGTCGCAGTCTTAATTATATTATAATCCTACTTATATATTTATTATAATCATTATATTATAATCATACTGAAAAGCTTGATTGTTTCGCCGCATACACAAAACTTAAAGGTAGTAAAACCTACCCTGAGAGCTTCTAACATCACTAACACGAGAATTTAATAAATTTCCGAGGTTTCATTTTAATACTCTTGCTTTGATATCCTTGCTTCATTCTGAGAATGTACGATAGTTCATCATAACTGTTTTTAATAATTAATAAATTTTGTCCGGTGTCCAAATTGACGTACTAAGCAACCCCCCCTCTGTCTGTAGATATAGAACTTGGCTAACCAGAAGTAGAACAAGTGGGTAGCGCGTAGCTTAATATAATTCTGCTTCACCCAGCCTTCAACCAAAAAAGCAATGACTATCTGCCCCACGGTTTAAATATCAGCATAGTCACATCAGGTGATGCCAATATGTACGTCTTAATCATTAGCCTGTGGATAGATTAACTATAGTAATGTTATGTATCAATGAACTCACAAACCGTGAAAGATGAAAAACGAAAAGAGAAAAAACTTTAAAATCGTAATCAAATAAAAAAGGTATACTTTATCGTTTCCACACATAAGTGAACAATTTAACAACTGACGCTTACCCGCTAAAAGCAAACACCGCCGACATACCTAATGCAATTGCAAATGGAATTTGTATTAACGGTTTCAATTTCAATGTAATGCAGATAAAAATTCCATTAAAAATTCAAGAGGGTCGTTAATTAAAAGAGAACAAGCTGGTGCATTTTGTCGAGCGGCGCGGAGCGTGTTTTCTTCTTGTTTATACTGTTTCCTCCATATTGGAATTCAGAACGAGAGTCGCGAGATTATTTCATATCTCGATATTTAAATTAAACACATGTAAATCATATTGTATTATTAATATATATTATTGTTTACGCTTGTTTTATTTATATTTAACATTCTACATATATGTAGATATCGGTGAATTTAATACCTAAGTTTTTTTTTTATTTATTGCTTAGATGGGTGGACGAGCTCACAGCCCACCTGGTGTTAAGTGGTTACTGGAGCCCATAGACATCTACGACGTAAATGCGCTATCCACCTTGAGATATAAGTTCTAAGGTCTTATAATAGTTACAACGGTTAATGCCGCGTCTTACCTTGAGAGATAGGGCCAAATTCTCAATTGTATTATAGCATAACGGCTAACGGAGCTTCCTAAAAGAAACGCGGCAGAGATCAGTATCTATCCGTGCTGCTTACAGTATGGCCTACCACTTGAAACTTAGAAGTAAAATATTTGCTATGGGTAAAAGTTTCCTTGGGGCCTGTAGATACTGCTTATGCGATTCTCAGTAATAGAGCTCGTATGTATGCTACGCATCAGGCACCTGGAGATTGCTTTTGCTTTGGTTATAATTTAATACACATAATACCCAGGTTAAGCCAGCTTTCACGGAAAATTTAATGATCATCCAGGAGCAACGACCCGTGGCATAAACCCTTCCCAGGTGATTGGACGGCAAAAACGTTACGTTCCATGTCAGGGTAAGACACTATTGGAGAAAAAAAAACTGAAATTATGCCGAAAACAATAGGCTTATAAAACATCCATGACTTTCCCGTCAATCTACCCTTTTCACGGATGTAATCAATGTGAAAACAATCCAAGATTTCTTCTCTCCAAAAGAGATCAGATAGCTAGCTGCCTTCGAGGTAACGGAACACGCGTAGAGAAAAAGTTCAGCTCTCCTTGAATCGACCGCCATCCCGTCCAGCCGTATTACTAAGGACAATAGCAATACAGCCTACGAAATCTATTTTTACGTATATTAATTTGAAAACCTTTGTCAAAATTCAAAATTGCTTTAGAAACATATTAAATCCACTGAAATCTAACTTGTTACTCGAATTAAAGAGCTTTGAAGTACACATTCCATTTTGGATAGAAATTAAACAAAACATAAACAGCAACTTCATTAATGTCAGTAATTAAATTCAGAAACAAATTTAAATTATAAATCAGACTTGTATTATTAGTACACGAAAAAGTTTTAGTGTTTTATTGTGTATTAATTTATTCAAAGGTAAAGCATAATTAATTAAAAAAAGTAATATAATTTCAAATGATTCATAGCTTTTCCAATTTCTAGTACTTATGTATTAGTTGAAAATGTAGCTTTCAGTAATTGTGATTGATCTACGGTTTACCTACCATTAGAGACTCTTATAAGAAGCGGAACCCTTTAGCGTAGAGGCTACATTAATATTGTACACGTAAAACAAAGACCCAACCCAAGCTTAACTTCAAATCATCATTTAGTGTAAAATATAAATAAATTCAAAGGTGTCAAATGGAAGTAGTTGGTATTTGAGTGCCTCGGCCGAGAAATTTTGAGGGTCTATGACAATGTAGGTATGTATGTATAAAACTGTGTACAATTAGCTCAACTAAACAAAGTTAAATTTACCTGGTCTACCTCAAACATAAGCTTCGATCACCTTGATTCTAACCATATTCTAAGCGAAGCTCTGAAGACGGGGGTATACTTACGTCCCCAGTGTAATCATTTACTACATTAATATTATCCATATGATAAAAAACATAATGAATTACCAGAGAGCTAGTGGTCATCAGAGTCGCAATTTTCAACGACGACTTTATTGTTCCAATCATCTAATAAATAGTCATCAACTGACCGGAGATTCTTCAAAATGGTTGGTAGCTTAGAAGTTAGTGCCTTACGCGCGTCGAAGGTCATCAAACCTGAAAAGTGCGAATGCTTAGTTGTGGTACCAGCTAAACATTAAAATCGTGAATGTTGTTTAAAATACAACAAGCAAGTTTATAAATCGTAGTATTAAGTTATGATTTATAGAATATTACTTTGTAATAAGCTTTAATTTTGCTTTTTATTAAGTTGATATGTAAACAAATTCATTAGAGTGGCGATATATGGTGCGTGTGCCGCCCTCTAAAACGTACGTGTTTTAACTAAAACTTCGAAGGGAAACTTTTATTTTGTTTGGGATTGAGTGAAAAATTTCATCAATTTTTCGTTTCCCTAAACAATTATTTAACTTTTAAGCAGCCTGTTTAAGTTGAACGATATTGATAGGAGCTCCTTTAAATCTAATTAGAAGTTTTCTATTTTGATCTGCCTTATCTTATATATTTTATTTCTGAACTTTGGTGAGTATAAAATAGAATAGAACACAGTTGTATTATACATAAATATAATGGAATATTATGTAATTTTGAGTAATAATAGAAAAAAATACAATTATTAAAATTTATTGGTGTAGTGGGTAAACGCGCTCACGGCCTACCTAATTTGAAGGAAGACATGTCGTAGCGCTCCGGGAAAATCCTAGGGGGAATTTTTTCCAGCACTATACCTTATATAGAGGGAATTAAACATAAAATTCGGCATCAAGCAACGTCTATCTTTGGTCGTCCAGGGTCGGATTCTCACTTTCTTCAGACATGTGTCGCGACGGGGTGACGACTCGTTTGAGCGCCTTGTGATGCAGGACATGATAGAGGGTAAAAGACCGCGCGGCAGATCACTGATCACTGTTACGATGGACCTACCAAAAGGCAGCTCTACACGGTCTCGTCAACGAGTGCACAAGATGGGCCGTGGTTCGCGAGGAATGGCGACGTCTGGTGAAGCGCACCACCACCCGAAATTATGACCACGACCACTTTGCCAAGAGTGCATACGACTGAGAAGAAAACATAAAACGCATTATACCGGAGGTAAAAGGTTCCAAGGTTCCAAGTAACTGGAACTCACTGATCGTAGGGCGTTTCATGACCGGCATAGGTAGGTACCATTTCCTTTTCTATTTCTATCGTGAAGTAGTGTTGCAATTCGTTTAGAAGGATGGAGCCATTGCTCAACGGAACTGAGACAAGAACTCATGTCTTGAAGTGTTTGGTGGCATTTACGTTGTTAATGCCTACGGGCTCTGTTAACCAATTAACAGCACATCAAAAAGTTCTCGCTCATCTGAAGGCATAAAGTATTAACTAACTCAATT